TTGCTTTGTCTGTCTTCTAATTTTGATTACCAGTCTTATACTTTCTTGTATTACTTTTGCTTCCCTTGAACCCAAGCTCTCTCTTTCCACCCCCCGTCAAGCTATTAAGACCACCCAATGGCACAAGCAATTATCCCTATGAGCATGTTAAACTGTGTTAAATCTGCCATTGCCCTGCCCAATTTTCCAGCTGATCAATATCAGATTGTAGCCTGAGACCATCCTTCTCACTATCAACACCACCATTAATTTATGTGTCATCTGCAAACTTATTTATCACACCTTTTATTTTTGCATCCAAGTTGTTAATATAAATAACAAACTGCATCAGTCCAACCATCGAACCCTGTGGTACATTATTGGTCACAGGTTTCCAGTTATAAAAGCAACCCTCCACTATCACCCTTTGTCTCCTATTGGTAAGCCAATTTTGGATCTAGTTTGCCAACTTGCCTAGGATTCCATGGTCTCTTACTTTGGGAATAGCTTTCCATGTGGGACCTTTTCAAAGATCTTACTGAAATCAATGTAAAACACATCAACAGCATTACCCTCATCAATATATTTACAAAACACAAATTAGTCAGGATCTCCTAAAGAATCATGCTCGTTATCCCTGATCTATTCCTGAATTATCCAATTATTGATTAATTCTGTCCTTCTGAATTTTTTTCCAACATTTTCCATACAACTGATTTCAGACTAACAGGTCAAAAACTACTTGGCTTATCCCTGCTGCCCTTGTTGAACAAAGGAATTATATTAGCTACCCTTTGGGTATCTGTCAGCAAAGTATTTAATATCTCCACCAAGGCTCCAGAAATCTGCTCCTTTCACTCCCATTGCAGCCCATGATACATCTTGTCAGGCTCTGGGGATTTATGCACCTATATGCCTACTATAACATCTAATACTTCCTCCTTATTAATATTAATGTGTTCTAGAACCTCACCATCCCAACTGAAATCTCCAGCTACGTCTTTCTCTCCTCTCTCAGTACAGATGAGAAGTATTCATTTAAGACCTCAGCCATGTCCACTGGCTCCATGAATGGATTGTCCCTTTGGCTTGTGATAGGTGCCAGTCTTTCCATGGTGATTCATATAAAAAGCCAGGGGGTTTTCCTTAATCTCATTTGCCAAAGATATTTCATGGTTCCTCTTTGCTCTCCTAATTTCCTTTTAAAGCAACCTCCTATACTCTCTATACTTTTGAAGGGCCTCCCTGTTTTTCCTGACATATGCTTCCTTCTCCTTCTTTATCAAACTTTCAGTATCCTTTAACATCCAGGGTTCCCGCGACTTGCTGTCCTTGCCCTGAAGAGGAACACACTGGTCCTGAATTCTCACTATGCTGCTTTTAAAACGCTCCCATTTTCCAAATGTAGTCTTACCTGCAAGTAACTGCTCTCAGTCTACGTTTGCCAGGTCCTGTCTACTATTGGACCTAACTGGACGGCACTGAAAGGGCTGCTGTTTCTTATGAAAGGTAAGTTCAAAAAGCCACAGTTCTTTCCTATGTCAGGATACTATCTGCGCACACAGGAATTCCTAGAGACATGGTTCTCCACCCGTAATGCTATCAACATATAGAATTGGACCCCATATATAAACCCGTACAGATCAAAATCAGAAAAGACACTACTCACTATAACGGACCAGACAGTATAAACTCCAAGCGGAGTAGAACAACATCGCTTCATCAGAGGCTCCACTGACGACGTCACCTAGCATGGTGACAAAACGTCTGACTGAGAACAAGCCAGCTCGGTGAGCAAGTCAACAATCTCACCCACAACCCGAGCTACAGATCTTTACCAACACCTATACCATCTACACTGTCCAAGTCCAGTAAGACACTTTGAACACTTCCAGTGTTTTTAAGACAGATTAGGAAATTGGTCATTAGAAGAAAAGGAAGAATACCAACATTTACAGAAAATTATCCTGCACATCCTGAAATCAGGGCCTTGAGCATCCAACTGATGCTCTTCCCTCCCAACGGTGTGAAAAGCTCCATCCAATGGATGATTGTGTGCCTGAAAACTCACTTCTGATGGCAGCTGATCTCTCAGATTGTTGAGGTCATTGATAAAATGCAGACATTCAAAACAACTGTTCTAGAGGCTGCGTTCATGATGAAAAAGGTGTGGAATGTGATAATGGAAGCCAGAATTGCTAACTCCTTTCATCACACTGCGTGTAAACAACTGTGCTGACAGAAAAGAAGAGCAAGATGAGTGTCAACCAAATCAAATGAGACTCTTTGTATTTGGGAGTGGCCCGAAACTGTCCCTGGTTCTCTCTGATGGAGTTCAATTGTAGGTAAAGAACAATATACCCTGCACTATGGATCTGTTAGACAGGCAATCGTAGATGAAAGATTTTCTCTAACTGACGAGCCCGAAGAAGTCGATGTTTCTATAGAGTCAGACAAATACCTGTCTGCTTGCCTGTCTGTTTTCCTAGCCAAAAAGTCTTAAGTATGCTCTGGGGTTTTATACTGCAGTGCAAAAACATCCAAAATATATTTGGTGGCATTCATGATACGGTGGGTGATATGACACTCATCCACAAACAGCATTGAGATTTTACTGTAGTCTGTTTGGATTTTCAGAAGAAAATCATAAATTGTCATAGGTTATTACACAGGATCCTGTTCATAAGATTGGTGATAATATATTGAGGATTGGTTCATGTACAGAAAACAGAAATAAGTTAGTAATTTTTAGGATGACAGGCTGTAATTAATCAAGTGTCACAAGGATCAGTATTTGGCCCTCAGCTTTATATACAGTCTACATCAATGGATTAAATGAAGGGGACAAATATGATATATCTAAGCTGGTTCGTTGTTGTTCCGCAGACGTTTCATTACCCTACTGGGTAACATCATCAGTGCAGCCTCCGATGAAGCGCTTTTATGTTTTCCTGCCTTAAAAACCAGGTGGGAAAACACAACAGCGCTTCATCGGAGACTAAAAGCAGGCAGGAAAACACAACGCACTTCATCGGAGGCTGCACTGATGATGTTACCCAGCAGGGTAATGAAACGTCTGCGGACCAACAACGAACCAGGTCGGCAAGCCAACCAACCACAACATCCACGCCAAAACCTTAGATAATATATCCAAGTTTGCAAACAATACAATATAGGTTAAAAAAAAGGCAAACTGTGACACATGTTGAAATAAGTTGCAAAGGGTATAGCCCAAGTAAGACACTGGGCAAGAAGGTGGCAAATGTAACATGATGTAGGGAAGTGTTAAAGTATCCAGATTTGGAGTGCAGATGGAAAGGGTGAATATATTTTACAAGATAAGACACTGCGATGTGAAATTCAAAGGGACCCTTGTACACAAAAGTTAACCCACTTGTATACAAAGCAATTGGGAACATAAATGTCACATTAGCGGCAGTTGCACAAAGCTGCAATATAAGCTTAAGGAAATCTTTGATAAGGTTGCCTGAGTACAATATATAAAGTCATCCTTCTAAGGAAAGGTGTACTTGCCTCAGAAACAGTACAACAGAAGTTCACTAATTAATCTCTGAGATAAGCAGACTGTCCAGTGAGAAAAGATTGAGCGAGATGGTGGCTATTCTTTGGAGTTTAGAAGAATGAAAGATAATCTAATTAAAGTGCTTAAAATTTATAAAAGGTCTGTCAAGATAGATGCCAAGAGGCTCTTTACCAGGAGTCATAGTCTTATACGTGATATTTTTACTTCTCCCCATCAATCTGCAACATGTTAAACTGGGTGCCACAGTGACACTACATGTCCCACGCCTATCCAAACAATGGGTATTTTACTTACAATGGGCCAAGTGTCAGATGATCTGCTTGCCCTTTAGCCAATAATAGCCCATCAGTGGCCACCACCACTAGAATTTTAGATGTAGCAAGAGAGACATGCATCCTAGCAGCTAGTTTTTTTTTTATGCCACCTGCTCAGGAACCCTATAGACAATGGAGCCCCTTCTGTCCCCATGAGGTCTGGCAATGCCTTTAGGGCAGGGCCACGTTGCCCTGTGTTAAATGCAGCTAAGATTTTCAGGATGGATGACGGAGAGATGTTGCTGCCTGTTTAGGACTGTGGTTAAAAGTTTCTTCAAAGGGTTGTGAATCTTTGCCTTTTTCTATCCGACATCAGGCGGTTGCAGATGTTCAATAACGAAATAGATTGATTTTGGGGCATGAATAAACCAAGGGCAAGAAACTGGAACTGATGTAAATGCTCTGCTGTGATATTCCTGAATTACAGAAGAGTGCAGGAGCCAGTACCTCACTGCTGTGCTAGTTATTTATCATTTCCTCTTTGCAGCCGAAATTTCAAACCTCGGTTGATGAATTGCAAATGGAAGAAATGGATAGATATATTAAAGTGCTTAATTTGCAACATATTTGATTTTAAGCCATTGGTTTACTTAATATTAATTTCAGGCCATGTTTACTTGTTTACTGATTTGTCCCATCCCTTTTCAACTTTGGCTAGCTTTCCATCGTTCTGATCTAGCAGCCTCGCTCACTCAGAGTATATTCTGGAATTGAAATTTGCACCTGAAGTTTGAATATTGATTTCAGCAATTGAAGTTGCTAGCATGAATTATGAAAATTATTCTTTTTCGATTTTAAAACAGAGTTCTACGAATCTGAGCAGGATCAACAAAATGTTCAGATTCTACCTAAAGTCATTCAATACAAGCCATGCCCTGAAAATTATGTGTAATCTGTGTTTTTCATACTTATTGGTAGATTGTTTCTGAAGTAATTTAACAAAATAAGAACATCATAATATTGTTTTTCTTTGTGAAACTACTGTTGTCCCTCAGGACAATTTCCAGAATCATGTAGATTTGTGAAGCTCCCCAACATAAAAAGATTTAAATTCTTGTTACGATAATAATGACGTAACAATCCTTTCTCATAACTTTCATAGTCCAAAACAGTGAAGTGGCAGAAGTGAAACTGAACTATAAGTAAGTCACTCAGTTTCTTACCTGTAATGTGCTAATATGAACAGGAGTACCTGTTCCATTTACAGTATTCTTAGAAGATGGTTTGACCCAGTTTCCACATACTTTTCCTTCAGCCTGCTCCTTGGCCTTCAGTTTTTTTTGCATTCGAGCCCTTTCAGCTTCAACTTTTTTTGGGCTGTTCAGCAAAACCTGCACAACAGCATATTCTACAAGGGATGCAAACCCAAACAGGAGGCAAGCAATCAACCAGATGTCCAAAGCTTTCACATAGGAGACCTTGGGCAGCTCTGCAGCAAGAGACATACACTCAGAAGACAAGTTGAGAACTGAGAAGATACCTGTGAGAAACAAACATGCATGTTACCGGCAATATTTAAAAAGTAGTTTTCAATGTAAATACTACATTCATTAAAAACCGAAAGAACTGCAGATGCTGTAAATCTGGAACAAAAACAGAAGTTGCTGGAAAAGCTCAGCAAGTCTGGCAGGACCGGTGAAGAAAAAAAATTAGTTAACATTTCGGGTCAGAACTGAGGAAGGGTCACCAGACCCGAAACGTTAACTCTAATATTTTTCTTCACAGATGCTGCCAGACCTGCTGAGCTTTTCCAGCAACTTCTGTTTTTGTTACTACATTCATTAAGTTCATTGTATTTTAGTACAGTAGCTGCAGTCCCAGAGGGCAGCTCTCTCAATAGAGAGGAGAGGTGACTGGTGGGAAGTTTAACTTGAGGATCACCACATCTCTGGCAAGGGGATGAAGTTGAGAACATGGGATCTTTGTGCTGTCCTCAGCTGGCACTGTTAGTGTCACTCTGCATTGCAGATCAGCTGACCAGCAAACCAACACTCTCACCTTTCAGTATTCACCTTGAACCACACGCAGCAGGAATTCCCGCACACCCCCTCCACCGCCCCAACTGCTTTACTTGGGCTATTGTGTACTATCGCTCTCCAGCACGTTTCCAGTGCTCCTATCAAATTTAGGGCCTCTAAAACAGCTCCAGTTATTCCTTAGTTCATATCATTTATTATCAGCCCAGTGGCAATTTGGGAAACTTTCTTCAAAGGTTTCACAGCTCAATACTTGGATGACCATTGCCAGCCCCAAAAGGATAAGCTCTGAACTCTATACAAAGATTATGTCTTTGTCATCTAAATTAACACTTGTTCTGAAAGATTTTTCTTTGATTTACAGATGTCAGACATTTGGCTTGGGCCACAAGAATAAAGTTCTGACAGGATTCATCAAAGTTTATCCTTTGTTTTACAAAACATTCACAATAAGTGTCCTTTTCTGTTTAGCTTTATTTAATGTCATTTCTGCAAATCTGCTGTCTACTTGTGTCATGTGAATGTATTCGCCTGTGATTATTGGGATGGAGATATAATTCCAAATAATAGCTTAGTTTCTAATTAAGTTGCCAATTGTTTTTTGAACAGGTTTTATTTTAACATGTTTTTGTTTATTTTTAAGTACATTAAAGAAACCTGTGAAAATATCTTTTATTTTGAATAATAGCTTACAAGGGAATCAATTGACCTATTTATTAATTACATTAATACATTTTTATTAATGGTATGATTGGAACTGTAATATAATGGAATACTGCTTGATTATCAGCACATTCTTCCTGTCATGGTTTTAACTGTACCCTGAAATTCCTTTTCTTCTTTATCCCATTGAGAAACTTTTGTACCATTTAGAATGAGGCCTCCTTATTCTTGTAGTATGTACACCTCATACTTACTAATATTGAAGTTCTTTCCCAATCTGGAATCTAATTTGCAAGCTTATCATTGTTTTATTGTATTTTTTCACATTTTCCTCTCCATTAATGACACACATCAATCGGTGCCATCGTCAAAGTTTAAAATTGTACCTGATTCAGTCCAAATTATGAACCACAGTGGCCCCAAAATTGGTCTTTACAGAATACCACTTCCCAACTTTTGTTAGCGTGAGTAACCACCTTTAATCACTACTCAGTTTCTGCTTTGTAGCCAGTTTTCTCTTGTCATTCTTTTATTTGTTTCCTGACTCCATAGGTCCTGCTCTTTATCATGAGTCCATCCACTGTGTATTTTTTGGAAATCCAGATATAGAAAAGGCAATTATGAGCTGAGGTGGTAGCACACAAACCTCATGCTGCCAGTTGATCAAAACAACGGTAACATGTAGCTCCATATTGCTGACCAGCAGTGTGCAGGGGGTCAGGAGTGTGAGTGGCTAACATCTTGTATACCAAGCCTCCATTTCTTAAAGGCTTTCTGTACTTTTTTTTAAAAAATGAAGAACATTCATAGAATCATAGAGGTTTACAGCACAGGAAAAGACATTTCGGGCCATTGAGCCTGTGCAGTCAGAAACAACCATTTAACTATTCTAATCCTATTTTCCAACACTTCATCTTTAGCTATTTGGGCTACAAATGCTAGTGGAACAGTATTAGAAAATCTTTGTTGGAAAGAAGAAGAGCAGCAACGGAACAACAGGTCAGAGTGAGGGTTAACAAGTTCTCTGATCAGGTACTAGTGGCCTAGGTGCTAGAGAGATCAGGTTTTCAGAGGGGGCAGGGATAATTTTAAGACATATCTTGCAAAACTGAGGGCAGGTGTCCATTTTTAAGAGTCTGATCCTGATGACCTGGCTATAATGCCTTAAAATGATGCCATACAATGTGGTCAAGGTCAGAGAGTGCTTATTCAATTGCTAACAACTCACTATTCAATGCACTGCAAGCCCATCACCCAACCAGCAGCAATCAGGACCCATTCAAATCATTCCTCCTTATTCTCACATGCTTACCAATGCTGCTAGCTTCAAAACCATCTCTTCTAGCTCCTACTTCCTCAAGTTATTTAGACATGGCAGACACATGCAAACTCCACCTGCTGTCATGCAGATTCTGACTCCTGTCATCATGGCTGAGGATGTTGATGTTCAAAAATTACTGGCTCCTACAGTAGTCTGGTACTCTGTTCCATCAGACTAGCAGAATTATTGAGGTGCCACCCAGGGACTAATACAGAGTCAATGAAGCATGAACTTGCAGTCTTCTCTCAGGATGACAGCATTTGTTCTTCCCCCACTATCATTACACCAGACTGCTGCTCCTCACCCTAGAGAACTGTAGTTCAAAGCCAAGCTTTCAAGGTCCAGAGATGCTCAAGAAAATCCTCCAAGGCTATATGCATTTTCATCCAGTGAAAGTAAGCAATCTAAACTATATAAGTTGTTACATCATATATAAACTATATGATATAACGCTGTGAAGGAGCATGAGGACAGAAAAAGGCTCCCATGAGATAGTCATAAAGGGAATTCACTACAGTGAATTGTAGGCATTTGTCAGGATTTGTTGGAAGGATTACTGAATAATGTTGCTCTGGAATATTTTTCAGTGTCTTCTACTTCAGGATTTTAGCTGAGAAGACTGAGATGGCCTATAGCAGAGGATTAGACAGATGTGGAATTGTGGAGTATCTAGGGTGTGAGCATGTGATTTATGAAGGGAACTGGAGATTGAGCAGCTGGTCATGAATAGGTTGAGCAAACATAGAACTATGAGAAACAGTTTTAGGACCAGGTCATTTTGGCCCTTGAGCCTGCTCCATTACTTGAAAGATTGTGGCTGATCTGATTGTGGCCATAACTCCATGTTCCTGTCTGTCTCTCCCCATCTATGAACCCAACATCCATTCACTTGTCGACCAAAAATCTGACTAATTCAGCCTTGAATATATTCACTGACCCTAGTTTCTACAGATCTCAGGGGTAATGGTTCCAAAGGTACACAACTCAACAAGAAAAACAATTCTTCCTCATTTCCAATGAAAGTGGGCAACTTCTTGTTTTTAAACTATGTTGCTAATTTTAAGGTTCCCACACAAAGGGAAATATCCACTCAACAGTCAGTTCATCAAGTGTGTAAGTATCAGCTGATTTTGTTTGGCTAATTTGATATATTTACAGGTGTAGAATAATAGTTGTTACTTTTAAGCTGCTAGCCTCTCACTCATTGTAATGAATCAAAAACTTTGAGGACAGCTCACTGGCACAGGATTAAATAATGTGGCTATAGCCCAAATGCTATGTTATTCTGTGTATGTTCATCCACAAGCAGCACTTTCAATGGCACTACAAATGGTAGCCCTCACGTGTCCTCTACAGTGTACAGTGGCCTCTAGAAGTGTCGGTTCTGGTGCTCTGGCAAAGTCATATTTGGGCTCCTTCTGCTTCCTTCTGGTAAAAGAGGACACTAGGAATTCCCTTCTGCTTTCTTTATTCTTTCTGGTATATCCCAACCCTCAATATTTAATTACAAATCCTTTTGTTTATGAAGCCATGTTTCAGTAATTCCATCTGGCTCTACAACTAGAGCCTCAATTTGGATTACAACCTCCTTATTTTGGATTTTGCGTACGTTACTGTACAAGCATTTAAGTAAATAACAGCTACTGCTTTCATTTGATTCTTGACATTAAATTTATACTTGTATTTTATAACTGTATGTGCTCTCTGACTATTTGGTATCTTTGAACCTGAACTTTGTGTGGCATTGACTCTCACCTGTTCCTGTTATTTTCAGACATCTTATTTTATTTGAATCCCATCCTATTTTACTGCTGGGAAGTCCCAACAACAATCCAACTTATCCTTTCACTGTGATGTTGGTCTCACCCTGGTTCACCCTATTCCAGTGGTCCTACTCCACTTGTTCCAGGAAAATCAAATTCTTCAGCGACTGCACCTTCCTCACCTCAATATCCCTGTACTAACCTTATGTAGTTCAAGTTGTAGTCCTGTACTTAGTATAAGGCAGCTGGTACAAATAGGATAGTTGATGACATCACAGGAAGTGACATCAGCTCTGACAACAAAGTGTAGAAAGACTCGTTGCATAATAGTGTAATGCAGACATCTCTCCATGTTCTGAACATGGAAGTGCATCGTTCAACAAATAGTTCTAGCTACCAAGACATGCTTCATGTCCATCTTTAAGCATACTTAAACATGGTAGTAGCAGGAAAACTGTTAAAATCTCTCCTTACAACAATGGGAACAGCACCTATCTGGTGCCCAGCACAATTGTGATAATTTAGAACAAAGGAAAGCAGCAACAGCCATGTTACAACGTTAACATGAGATGACAGAACAATTCAGCCGTACGGAAAAATGAGAGGAAAAAGCAGCAGAGTTTAAATAAGGAAATGCAAAAGGTCACAATAATCAGACAGACAGTCTCAGGTGAAGACCGACGAACGACAGAAGAAACTGGTGAATGCTGCATGAATAGGATTCAGAAGTAATCAAAATTGAAGTGGTCACACTCCA